TGAGCAACCTCGTTGATGACCCGAACTCGATCATCACTCGCCATCTGGAGCTGTCTCATCTCGGTCTCTGGGAAAGGATATGGCTCCAAATAAGGTTCTAGTACAGCGTCAATTTATTCCGAAGTACATGGGGAGGGCACGATGGTATCATAAACTACGAGGGCGTCATGGATATCACGAAATTAGTATTCGGTCTATAAACACTATATACAGAAGTTAAGGGGTCTTAACAGTATAGCTTAGGGACCGTGTACATTAAAAATCTATTTTATCTTTTTGGTTCTGAAGTCCTGAGAGTTATATAAAGAACAATAGATATGCCTCATCAAGGAAGAATATTGTCCGAAAGATGTTCCTTTGATCGAGCCATCAATAGAACTGCCGAGTGACACTGACGAGAATGTGAGTCAGAAAAGAAAGACATGGGCTATGCAGCAAATTTACCTCTGTAAATAACCTGTATCAGATATATCCCAGTTGAATCAAGAAGGCGAATCCACGCTGCGCAGCGGCTTCACGTGCACCTTTTTCTGAAAGTTCGAGGTGGGACGATCCAATATGGGTCCAAGGGTCGGTTTCGCGAACCCTATAGTAGTAGAGACAGGCAAAGAAGACTCTCTTATCATTAGGGACCTGTTGCCTTTCATCAGAGCGGAAGATTTGGAGGCCATGCCTTCGTGAAAGAACGTTTAGCTGTTCAGTGAAAGCCATTAGGGTTTCGTGATACTCCTGCCGACAAATAACACAGTATCCTACTGGAAACGGGAGTGATGAGGAGATTAATGAGAAAACTCACCCATAAATCGGAGCATTATATGTGGCCATAGCTGCAGGCTGCTTAGCCGTCGCGCTGACCGCCTAGGGCTCGAGAATTGAGGCCAAAATTTGCTATCCTGTTTGCCAAGGACAAGAAAAACCTTTATCCACTAGTTGAAAAGGCGAAATGATACGGGCAGTATGTCATGACTGGTGGCCGAGGCAATTTGGAGACATTGGTTTATGACAGTGAAAATTATAGGCAAAGTTTTTGGCCAGTTTACGTTGTATCGAATGAGTTGCGTCATTTGACTTTTTCTCTGTTTTTCTGGACTTTTTCTCTGCCATCAATCAGGGGCATCGACATGGGCTGGTTGAGTGGCTGACTGTAAGCTCGGGTAGGGTGCAGAAAACGACTTGCACCCTTCCGGTAGAGCCGACACAATGATAAAAGCTGCATGACTTGTTGGCCGTGCTCCCGATACCGGACTAGGAGGCTGTCTCGATGAGAGCCTCTTTACCTCTAGAAAGGCTAATTTTGAAGGCACCAGGCAGGTAGAGTGTCATCGCTGTATGCTACTTGCACTAGATGACGTCTTGATCTGCAAGATGTTCGTGCCTGTGGCTGGTTTAGAGTGTCGTGTACCTGCGTCAACAATTTGATTCGGAATCTGCCAACTTTGTCGGTATTTGACGTTTAAAGATGAAAAGACCAGGTCCAAGCGGTGTTCCTTCATCATATATGGGCATAGAAGATACTGCGCTGTCAAAATCCAAGAGGCCGTCAGGTTCAACAGGGTCACCGCCCTGGCGCCTCCTACTGACCGATACGCACAACAAAAAGTACACCTTGCCTAGCCTTCAAGTCTGCTTTAAATAACTATTTTTATTTTAAAGGAACTCGATATTGCATAACTATATCAAATCAATTAACAAAGGGTGGGACTCTGCGACGGCGCCTTTGACCTCTGATTACCTTGGCGTCTTGGTGGAGAGTCCATTTACGCTGCCTACATAGCTCTTCAAGCTCCAAAGCCAACTTTTTAGATGTAGCTTCATCTGAACCACTTTCGAGAGTATCGACGTGCAAGGTCTGGACCATTGGAAAGAGTTCGTGGTCCTCCCGCAAAGCTTTTTCCAGTTCTCCTTCCAATATATTTGACATGATCAAATTTTTGGTGGGTATAATACCAAGAGCTAAAATCTCCCAGCAGTTCATGTGTTCGACATGAAATTCCTCGAGAGGGGCGCGTGTTCGGTGCAAAGCGTTCATGTCTTGGCTCCATCCCGTATGCCTACGCGATGGGATTGGATCATATTCGTTACCACATGTGGAGATCATGAGGTATTGTAATGCCGAGAAATGCCGGACTAGCTTTGGGATGTGAGCAGCATAAGCATTCGCACAATCGATTAGATTGAGACGACGCAGAGTAGAGCTATGAGGCCAGGGTGTATCCCAAATAAGTTGATGGTCAATTCTAAAGGCCCGCCTGATGGATAATGTAGAAAGGCCGGGCATTTTCGACCGGAGTGTTGTGTAGCGCTCCAAGTACATCGTCTCCATAACGATCTCAAGGCATTTCAGGTTTTCCATGATGCGTGGGGTGTCTAGAATCAACCTCAAGAAGTGAAGGCCGTCATGAGAGAATCGTTGATTCCAATCTGCGTTACCCCGTCTAGCGCGAAGAATGGAGATAGAATAAATCCCGATGGCCTTGACATTTGCATAGAAAATATAACCAGCAATTTTCTCCAGTATTTTCTTCATGGGGGACCTATACGAGCGGTAATACACGCTCACTGAGGTGACTCCTGAACACTCCTTGAGAAGAGCGCCTAGGGCTTTGACATATTCTTCAGCAATTTCGGCATTTGCTACGACATATGCTGGGTCCGCTGCTATACGCACGGTCCGAGCATGGGATGCGTAAGGCAGGACTGCGTAGAGTTCCTCGGGTTTGACGTTATTGTGCACAAAGTTTAGGTCGTGATATAAGACCGGCACACAGAGGTCGTTAAATTGATGATTGACTCTGGTTATGGACGTTATGAGGCCGTTTGCGCTTTTTTTTTTGAAGGTTTCGACTCACCGACGGAGATCGCGTAGAGGAGCTTGTCTTTCTCTATAGGGCACCACATTTGCCATGTTATTGGTTCCTCTTTGTGGAAAATTATCTTCGTCTAACAATGAAGAGGCGACTGTGGCTAAATGATGAAAATTGCGAGTTCGTTCTAAAGGGTATATGCCGGTCCATGCCGCATTAACTCCTATAACTGGTACTCCTTCATCAGAAGGAGCGATTTGGTCAATTATAGCTAGTAGAATTTCCACTGGAAGTGTCGATAGCGAGAGCATGAACGGTGGCAAAAGGATGGCAAGGTCAAAACCACTACATGACTCTTCATCACATTCATGCCTTGCCTATACGCTTATTGTTCTATATGCCGTAGGCAGCGTGATTACATACGAGTGAACAGTTTATATATTTTTTGTAAACTTCTATATACGGATATCATCAGGTACGTTTGATCTCTATAACGGAGTATAACCTTGCTTGATGCGTGTAGCATCTTTTGTTAGCTTAAGCTCTCTCTTCTCACAGATTTTCTCGATGCTAGTATATTTAGTTGAAGAACTCCGCATGATTTCATGGCTGCCACGGGGTGGTTGATCCTCAATACTGAGGAACCGCAAGCCCGGAAATATCTCTGGATCAGTTTCAAAGACCTCCGCGATATGACCCTTGGCCAAATTGCTCCCAATCACCTTCTTGGTAGGTATTGTACCCATTGCCATGATCTCCCAGTTGAGCATATGCTCAATATGAAACTCCTCGAGTGGTGGACGTCGTTTACACAGGGCGTCTGGCAAGTGACTCCATCCACTAGGCCTATATGGCGGTACAATATCGTCATCATCCCCACAAGTGGAAACAATCAAATATTGTAATGCTTGGAAGTGGCCGACCATCTTGGGAACATCCGCTGCGTAGGTGTTTGAGCAGTCGATCAAGCTCAGTCGGTTCAAATGAGCGCCGATCGACCATGGAGGAACTGACCAAGATTCCCAGAGATGTCCAAGCGAAATTCGGAGAGCGCGTCGTATTTGCAGGGAGGTAAGGCCAGAGACAGATTCTCGAAGATTTGTGTATGCATCGAAAGAAATCTTCTCTATCGCTATATCCAGCTGTTTCAAGGATGCTATTGCTTCTGGCATCGTGATAATTTCCTTTAGGAGGCGGTTGAGATGCCAAGCCTCTCGACTGTTCCACTCCCAACTTCCTATCACGCTCCGTAGAATCGTGTTGGAATATATGCCGAAAGATTGGACCTTTCCTTGCTTCATGAGATTCGTGAGTTCGTTTTCAAAGTGCTCGGTTTGGACTGTATAGTTGTTATAGTAAAGTGCTACAGAGGTTGCATTGCGACACTGTTGCACTATCGCAGACACGCTTTGCTGATATGCCGAAACAGCCTCGGGTTCCGGGAGTTTGAAACAGATTGGGTCAACCAGTAGGCGAATAGACCGAACATGCTTGACGTATGGTAAAACCAGCGCAGCCTCCTCCGTGATAAGGGTGTTATCCAATAGGTTGAGGTCATGGAATAGGAATGGAATACATAGGTCATTAAGTCGTCTGTTAACTCTGGAGAATGGATCACTTAGCATTTCGAGAACCATTTGTAAGCTCGGTGGACTCACTGGCGTAATCCCCATAGGGCCGAGTGTCTCGTAAAGGGCGATTCTGGTATCGTGACTGGGAGCAAGTTATCTTCATTGTCCTCGCGGTCTCCAAACCACTCTATAAAGCCCTCATCGAGGTAGCTACGCGCAGAATGGCGTCTCTCTACCCCACTAGGAGGTGTCCAAGCGGCGTTGGTTCCAGTGACTGGAATGCCATCATTTGGTGGCACGAGCTGCTCGAATATGGCTAACAGAAGCTCATCCGGTAAGCTTGTTAGGCTAACAGTCATATCGAATAGACACTCTCGAAGGGGTAGAGAGCAAAAGAGAGGTGCATATACATGCAATGTGGCAACAAGGTCGGCGCCAACGGTCCACGCCGTTCGGAGCTGCCCCTTGATGTCTGCCCTGACCTAAAGACTAGTCTCATCTCACAAATCAGAATTCTTTCAGAGGAATCAGTAGTATATATTGCCTTTATAATCAGTATAAACCACGGAAGCTAGCTAGTAGGGATTGGCCTAATCCTTTCGCCAGAACCGTGAGCCCAGAACCCAATATATACGAATGATACAGACCCTTTCCTCATGCATCAGATTGATACGTAGAAGTTAAGTATGTTATCCGCATCAAAACTCAGGGCAATGTTCCTCTGCCGACAAACCGCCTCCAAATCAAGCATTGTTGATAGATGTTGCCTCCACTCCCCCTTTCCATAGTGATTCGTTTTCATTTCTTTGTTGAGGCTGAGGTATCTGAGACTGGGAAAGATTTCCTGATCCTTTTGAAGGACTTCAATGACGCCAAGTGCGGAAATTCTTGTTATGATTAGTCTTTGAACGGGAATAGTCCCCATAACAAAGATATCTAGTTCGTCCATGCATTCGATATGAAACTCCTCGAGAGGTATATGTTGGTTACACAAAGCGTGAGGGGAGTGGCTCCAACCTGGTGATCGTGAGCCTAGTCGTATATCAGTATCTGATCCACATGAGGAGGTGAGCAGATATCGTAAAGATTTGAAATGGCCAACCAGCGCCGGGATTTGATAGATCAACGCCCCACTACAAGCGACTAGATTTAGTCGCTGCATTTGAGTGCTAGGCGACCAGTTTAGCCTATTGGATATCTCCCATCCCAGGTCATCTAGATACGATAGGGGCTGCCTCATGGTCAAAGAAGTCAAGGAAGCGACCAATGCGCGGACTTGAGCATACAGGCCCGGACTCAAACTTCCCATAACTATGTCGAGATATTTCAACGAATGAATCATCTCTGGTATTCCTAGAATACTTTCTAGTAGGTGAACCAAGTCCCCGTCCCCTTTCATGTCTACAAACTTTTCTTGCAACATTCTTTGAGAATAGATGCCGAATGATCGAATATTACCCAGTTGGATGAGCTTTAATATACTGGGTCCAACTTCCCCAATAGATAGAAGATGGTTATTAAAGTATAGTGCAACAGATGTGACCTCGGAGCATCGCTCTATCAGAGCAGATCTCTCTGGTTCGTACTTTTGAACCTCTGCATCATCTATACCCCGATGGGGAGGATCAATAACCAACCTGATGGTTCTAACGTGATGAGTGTATTGCGAAAGTAGCGCAATGTACTCTGACTCGATGTCATTGTCCAATAAGTTGATGTCGTGATATAGGAATGGGATGCAAAAATCGTTGAATTTTCGGCTTGTCCTTGATATGGAATTAGTATCGATCTATTATGTTTATTTTAGGAATGTGATAATCCAACTTACCGACGCAAGGCCCATATGGCCGAATACCTGGTAGGAGACGATTCTGTATTGATAGTTTGGGCATCTTCTGGTTTCATTTCTAGCCCATTGTCATATCT